CACCATCCGATTTGGTATAAGCCATGCATCCCTTCTCCACTCACATTTGCAGAATCGATTGAAGGTGTCATATGATCATGACCAGTTGACAGAAGCTGCATTGTAGTAAACGCATTTCGTAACTCCTACAACCGACAGGGTCCCTAACAACAGTGTCATTCTCAGCGAGGTATTAAGGGAGAAGGAGCGAGCGATAGGCAGAGGAGGTGCCTTTGCAGCGCGTGCGCACATGTGGCAGTCTTCTTTGCGGGGATGCACTTTCATTCTTTGTACTGCCTTCAAATACGCCCTTCTCATGAAGGTGGAGGAATGGAGCGACTGAACCTGCAAAGAAAATTTAATATCATGTTTTTTTCAGATATTTTCATTTTCTGCTGCGCTATACCCTCTTACCTATCTGCACCATGTTACTGACCCCCAAGAGTACGACCCCCCATGACCCAGCCCGACAGGTACGACCCCCCTGTCGAGGATTTCCTCGACCGATATTCACCCTGGTCGGAGATCCTTTTCAAATCATCTCTGTTCTTGACTAGCTAGCCAAATCGGTGTACATCGATGTATTTCTTCACATTCAAGTCTTGAACAGACTGTCAAATCCGGTATGTGAGGCATTAAGGGTAACTAATCTCTAGACCAAGTGCGGGAAGAGTTCCCTGCCACCCCACAATTCCCGCAATTAAAAAGCAAATGTCCATGCCTATATGAGCACATTTTGGTGAGCTAGGTGCAGTGGACGCGACCGCCGTATTCCTTCTACTACGGTTGAAAAAGCTTCCACAATCTTGCAGGAAGTTCAAACTAAACCTGACATGGACACTGATTAAGAAGTTCTGTTGGATCCATAAATATGGTTGATCTTTTCAGGGACTGCAGATGTGACGTCCATCTTAGTCTGCTGTTTCTTCCGTATAAATTCTGAAACTGGTGGTGTAGGCCCGGAATTCAAACGTTTGCTTGTTGTTTTGTGGTGTACTCGCCACCTCTTCTTTTGTTGCACACATGGTTGGAAATATGCTCATCACGATGAATCGATTCTCTGCGCTTTGCCTCAAGGAGAAGTACGATAAGGTTGGTATTCCCATAGATAAAAAGCATAATGCTTATCCCCTTGCTAATGGATTGTTATCAATAAGACTAACAAAATTGCAGCAATAAGCTAAACCCTGCAAAGCCTGGCTTACGCGAGCTGAGCTGAGCACTGATCTATGCAAAGGTTTTAGCCAACGACTTGTTCTTCATAAACGTCTCCTAGGCTCTATGAAGTTTTTTCCAGCATTCAATCAGCAAATTGTTTAGCTCTCTGGTCCGGCAATATTCGATCCAAGACGGAGCCACCGCCACTAAGCTTTGGGATAGACCGTTGCGATAGGATTAGCAGGTGAGTGCCCTGTCCATTCATACCCACTCTACGCAGAGTAAAAGTGTGTCGCCTAGGAGACCTGAACGTGTTTATGAATATGGGGGCAGGCAGATATGCGAGGAAGATGGCGTAACTCTGAGTCAGAAGGAGCTGTCGCGACTTTCCGTCCCCACTTCTGATTGCAGGTAGGAAGAATGAGCGAGTTGTATGAGTGTGTGTATATTTAGTACACAGTTAATGGTGACTTGTTCGGTGAAAAGATGGCCAGGACCCTTGGGGAAAACGAATTAGACGATACATATAAATTACGCCATTTCACTTTTGACGTATCATGCACATCGCAGATCTTATGTGCAGTGCTGTGAATACTGTGAGTCAAAATGGGGCCGTGAGGCTATAAGCCTGGATCCACGTGTTGCCTAATAGTATGCCTGACTCCGTGCTTTAGTATCTGATATTTTGTCATCGGGTCATAAACTCTGGCCACATGCCATAACCCAGCGACTAGTATTCTTCGTATAATGTATGCTATACGAAGTTATTACGGAGTTTTAAGAGGACCACGGAAGGTGTGCTGATCACTTCTCGAAATTTGAAGGGATGTTCAGTTGCCCAGGCGGTCGATTGGCTCTACGAGGAAATATGTAGCTTCCTCTGCTTAAGCTCAGACATACAACACGCTGCAAGTCATTTAGCTCACTCTGAGAAGAGGGGGTTTCTCCCTATAGAAGCTTAGGTTCGGCTGAGAGAGATGTATAGCTACGAATTTTAACAAGTGTGGCCGAGTGCGAGGAGCCGTTCTTCCGCCCAGAAAGATTATCAACCTCTCCGGTGAGAGGATAGTTCGATCACAACAGGATGGTGATTAGTGCACAGCACTTTTCTCCCTGGTTGATTCAGATTGAGAATCTACAGCAGTAGTCTTTGACATCGTTTTGTTTTTCGTTTTTTTTCATTCGTTTTTTTGTTTCCCGATTCGTTGACGTTCATTTCTGAAGTGATTTAGACTAAAGGATTTGCTGGAATAGCGATCCACTGAAGGCGCAATCGCTATTGTCACATAGAGCCCACAATTGTCCCAGTTCCAACGTTGAAGGGAACCAACGGGCAAACCTCTAACACTATATGTCCCTGCTAAAAGACGACAACACTCGCATTATGTAGTCGTGCTAGAATATGGTGATTCTGCCAAAACCTATATTTCAGTCGTTATGTTTAGATATGGTCACGAAGAAATGTGCGAATTATACTAGCGTTACATTTCACCTGCGCCTTCGCTACTTCAACTCCATTATTTGCAGCAGAATATGTGTTCATTCAGAATAATGACGGAACGTTCAAATATATGGGCTTGGACAAACGTAGTGATCTGGTTAGTTTTCTAGCTTACATCAAGTATCTAAGGATAAAGGGGGCGGAAGTGGTGTAGTGGCAAGTGACCACGCGAGCGGTCCGGGGATCAAATCCTGGGTCGTGAGTCGCCCGGGCCAACCAAGCCTTCCATCCCTCCGGGGTCGGTTAATTGGTACCAGACTTGTCTGGGAGGATAAAAACACTGACTTGTATCGGCTGGCCCCCGCAAGTCATTGTATAGGCCACATCGCATTCAAACGCCACTACGAATGTACAAATGGAAGTAGAATGCGTGCCGCATCCCAAAAGGGATTGATCAACGGCAAATTTTATCCAGAATACTTTCCCATCAGCATGTTTTGTCAGAAGGTTATTGGGACTGAGTGTAACATCCTTTTAGATCATCAGATGCGTCTATGTAGCAGCTCCACTGCTTTACGCTGTTGTCAGCCTTATTCTAAACACCCAGCTGCTCATCGAGCTCCGCAGATTACTGAAGGTCAGCGAGTCCGGGAGACATGTACGGCATGAGAAGGTGAGCAAGCAATTATATCACTGACAACTGCTTTCCTTCACACCCGTGCCTTAATCCCTTAGTCTTTTGATTGCGTGCTCAAAAAGGACATGTGAATTTTGAGGGACGTCTTGACTATTCCGCTTCTCGTTGTTATTGATCTTGATTTTCTGTGATTCCTTTTATGAGTGTTAAATGTATAGGCGTATTCAGAGAATAGCACT